CATGAGAATGAAACCAGAAGGCACAAACACCCCCCACTTTTATGGACTGCCTAAAGTACATAAATCAGACATCCCTCTCAGACCCATTGTTTCCCTGCCAGGCGCACGGTCACACAAATTGGCCAAGGACCTACAACAGAGATTGAAACACCTAGTAGACGGATCACCCCATTCTATCCATTCAACCCAAGATTTCCTCGATACCCTCGAGAACATAAAAATCAGCGACAACTAGGTTATGGTATCCTTTGACGTCACAGGTTTATTAATATCAATTGACATCCCACTAGCCAAAGAAACAGTGGCCACATTACTAGAGGAAACAGCAACGCAGACGAGCAGCTCCATCAGCAAAGATAACATATTTAAATTACTAGACCTATGCCTCACCTCACTTTGTCTTTAATGGTCAAATGAAGAAACAAATCAACAGCACACCAATGGGGTCACCCATCCCAGGACTCGTTGCAGAAGCAGTAATGCAAAGACTAGAACACACTACCCTCCCCCATATTCAACCTAAACTGTGGATCCGGTACGTAGACAACACATTTGTCATTATTAAACGCAACAAATTAGAAGAGACCCACCACCTCATCAGGTATTCACAGGAATTAAATTCACAAGGGAAGAAAACAACAATCAACTTCCGTTTCTGGATATTACAGTAAGTGACAAAACGGGGAGTTCCAAACCTCAGTGTACAGAAAAGCAACCCATACAGATCAAATCCTGAACTTCCACAGCAACCATCCCAATGTCCATAAACAAAGCTGCATTAGGACACCATTTAAACGGGCCAGGACACACTGTAACACTCCAGAACTATGCAGGAACGAGGAAGAACACTTATACAAGATCCTCGCTTTAAATGGATATCCCCGCAGATGCCTACAAAACAGACAACAACAGGCGGACACAGTACGACCTAACACACTGGCTACACTGCCCTACATCAAGAACATATCGGAACTGAAATCAAGACTCCTAAGACCACTAGGAATCATGGTGGCCCACAAGCCCACAAGCCCACAGCCACTCTACGACAAACACTTACATGGATTAAGGACCCCATTCCCACAACATACAGACCAAACGTGGTTTACAAAATACCATGCAACGACTGCCACAAACATTACATCGGACAGTCAGGAAGGAAACTAGTCATCAGAATACACGAACATCAGCTAGCAGCAAAACGGCACGACGAACTCTCTTTAATATCAGTACATTCAGACAATGAAGGCCATCAATTTAACTGCGACAAAGTAACCATAGTAGCCCAAGCCAAACAAACATGCATAGGAATTTCTAGAGACATGATTCTCCACCCATACTTCAAATCAACAAACATATAGAATTGGACCCCATATACAAACCCATACAGATCAAAACCGGAAATGACAGTACTCACCATAGCAGACCGGACAGTATAAATTCCAAGCGGAGTGGAATAACATCGCTTCAATTGGAGGCTCCACTGATGATGTCACCTAGCATGGTGATGAAACGTCTGAACAAAAACAAGCCAGCTCAGCGAGCAAGTCAACAACCTCATCCACAACCCAAGCTACAGATCTTCGCCAAAACTTAAGTATACAATATTATTGTTTTTGAAGGTTGCAGTTAACTCAGAAATAAGTGAGATTGTCAGAGTCAATATAATAAGGTATCATAATAAGGTAAGGCAAAGTAGAATAAGAGAGGGTGGTAAAGTTAACATAAGAGTAGTAGGTTTAATTTAAGTCTAGCTCAGTCCTGTATGTTGCACAGCCTGTAGAATCATAGAATCCCCACAGTGTGGAAACAGGCCATTTGGCTCAACAAGTCCATACAGATCTTCTGAAGAGCATCCCACCTAGACCCATTCCCCTTCCCTAGCCCTGCATTTCCCATAGCTAATGCACCTAACCTACACATCCCTGGACACTATGGGCAATTTAGCATGGCCAATCCACCCAATCTGCACATCTTTGGACTGTGGGAGGAAATCAGAGCACCCAGCACAAACCCATGCAGACATGGGGAGAACATGCAAACTCCACACAGACAGTTGCTCAAGGCTGGAATCGAGCATGGGTCCCTGGCACCGTGAGGCAGCAGTGCTAACCACTGAGCCACCGTGCTGTGGGAAATCATAGATACTCGAGGCAGTTTGGAGGACCTTATGGGCAGGGTATGCCACTGGTTTGATCAGCTTCAGCACCAGGCTTCAGAGCTTCAGCGTTGGCTGGAGGAACTGCAAGGCTCACAGTTGCGTGGATAGCACGCTTCTAAAATGTAATCACCGGAAGTTTAAGGAAATGCAGTCAGAGGGGGAATGGGTGACCACCAGTCAGAATAAGGGAGGCAAGGAGGTAGTCAGGAAAATCCGGGAGTCTATTTCACTTGAGAACAGATTTTGTACTGGTAAATAATGAGAGCTACTGAGATGAGGTGAAATCTCAGAGTGGTGAGTCTGAAGAATTCTCTGTCAGAGGAAGTGGTGGAGGCCAAAACATTGAATATTTTCAAGAAGGAGTTACATATAGTTCTTAGGGCCAAAGGAATCAAAGGGCATAGGGAGAAAGCAGGAGCAGTTAACTAAGTTGGATGGGCAGCCATGATAATATTGATGGCAGAGCAGGCTCATAAGGCCAAAAGGCCTCCTCCTGCTCCAATTTTCTATGTTGTGACAGTGTCCCTGGGAAGTGCAGCCAAGTCGAGCTGCACAAGACGGGAGCCGAAAGGGAGGAGATCAATAGTGGCTGGAGATTCAATAAAGAGGGGTACAGACAGGCATTTCTGCAGCTGCAGATGTGACTCCATGGTGTTACCTCCCTGCGGCAGGGTCAAAGATGTCACTGAACGGCAGCAGAGCATTCTGAAGCAGAAGGGTGAACAGTCAGAAATCATGGTTCACATTGGGACTAATGACTAGGTGGAAAAAAAAAAGAGACCTGCAACAAGAATTTAGGGTGCCAGGAAGCAGTTTAAACAGCACCTCAAAAGGTTGTAATCTCTGGATTACTCCAGGTGCCACACACTAGTGGGTATAGGAATAGGTGAATAAAACAGACGAATGGTACTTCACGAGTTGGAGCAGAAAGGAGCGTTTTAGATTGCTGGATCACTGCAGTCATTCTGGGGAAGGCGGGTGCTGTGCAAGTCCAACGGGGGTTATTTACTAATTTGGCAGGAGATGGAATATGGAGTGGACGTACAGTAGAAGGTGATGTACAGACAAATATAGAAGAAGAACCAAATCAGCTTAAAAGATAATTATTTTCACCCAGACAATTGTGGTATCTCAAACTCACTGCCTAAAAAGGTGGTAGACTCAGGAACCATCATGACATTTAAGTAGTCTTTAGACAAACCATAGCATACAAAATAAAGGGCGAAGTGCCAGTAAATGGAATTCAGATAGATAGATGCTTGATGGCCATGGGATACAATGGGCCAAGTGACTTTCTCCATGCTGTTAAAAGCTCTGATTCTAACTCCCTACAGGGAACTTTCATGCACTATTGAACTGTATGACCAGCACAAAAACAGGCCATTGACCTGATTGAGGATAAATGCTGACATGTCAATGTAAGCTATCTTCCATTTAAATTGAACTTAAACAACCAGCATGACCAATTGGCATTATTTTCACATGCATCATCCAACTGCCCCTTAAATGCATCTATGCTATTTGCCTCAACGACTCTATGTGGTGGTGTGATCTATGTTCTAACCACTCTGAATAAAGAGATCTCTCCTCATCTAAGTTTTAGATTTATTAATAACTATCTTGCATTTATGGTCCCTTTAGACAGCATTTCTTGCACAGGAGGATAATGAGAAAAAACAAAGCGTTATCCTCATCTGTCTTTGTATTGTCAAGCCACTTACCCTCATCCATCTCTTACACATACAGACTAGTTACTTTCCTTTGATTTTGCCAGTTTTCAACTGCCTTTACACATTGGCCACTCAAACTGATCTATTGTAACACACTTCCTGCTATATGGTTGAAACATACTGTCAATGGGCTAGCAGCTTTCCCTTTAGCTCAGTGTACGTCACTGGGGAATTAAGTGAGCAAAGAAATTATGCAGAAAATACATTGAGAAAGGAATTTTATTTTGCTAAATTTAAAACAAATGGAAGTTTATATCATGGAAGGATAGGCCTGCAATGAGATATACAGCTCTCCCAATGAAATACTGAGTCTTGCAGATTAGCCTCTGTTGGTGAGATAACTGACTCGGAAGCAGCAAATACGGTCAGGATTCCTCACTCTTTACATTATGCGTAAAGTTTACACATACAAGAAAGGTCAAACTTACTATAATGTTCCCAGTGTCAAAAAGCCAACCACTGTTTGAGGCAAGGGAAAGAAATGGGAAAAGAAGGCCATTTAGCTCCTCAAATCTATTCTGTCATTAGATGACAGCTGATTTGTATCTTAACATCATCTAGCCTTTTTGGTTCCATTCCCTTTCTTGCCCAAACAAATCACTACCTTGCTCATAGCAAAGCTGCATTTTAATCCTTTGATACAAATATAGGCAGTCATCAAAGCAGATTTGACCAAGGTCGGTTCATCCACTAATACAGAATGTGAGCTGGGATTAGAGTGATACGAGTCAGATTAGTTTTACCCGACTGACATGTTGTTGAAACAGTAATTCCTATTGATCTCAGCTCTGAAATTTCCAATTGACCTCAGGCTCAATAGCTTTTTGGAGGAAACAATTCTGTATTTTCAAACTCAGGTGGAAGTGTGCTTCCTGACATAATCCCCAAACCATTAAACTCTAATTAAAGATTTTATCCTTTCGTTCTGGACAGACCAAAAACAGAGAATATAGTTTCTCCCTATTTACCCTATCAATTCTTGAACATTTAAATTAGATTGCTTCAAATTGTGTAGTGGTGAGCTTTAATGTTGCATTCAAGATACATCATCATCTGACTTCTACAGAATGCTACCTATATTTATTCCCACCGAGTGGCCATTAGACACTAACCTGGGATAGCCCCACCTGGAGACTGTCCTTTATGCTCGTTGACTGAACACATGAATTCCAGGGTTGATTCCTTGCTGCCAACTTGTCTTGCAAGTCCAGGGGTTTCAGGTGTGATGCCAGCACAATATCCCTGCATAAAGTAGAAACATTGGATTGATTTGCTGAGATTTGTCCGCCCTCAATTTTATGACTTCTAATTTTCCTAGTAGAAGCCTTACAGTGCTCTGTGGGTAAGGAGACTAGGAAGTTCAGTACTCTCCCACACAGATCATGAAGTTTAGTTTTCATTCCTGACACGTGTTCAGTCAAGGCACTGATGGGCAGAAATAAAACTGTAAAAAAAATGGGCAAAAGAAAGTTTCTGAACAGGAACAGCTTTTAAGTTTAAAAGATACAACATTCACACCTCCACACCACGTCTCTCCATTCTTTTGCCATAAGTAAACCTTGTTACATCAATTCAATGATTTCCCAGAAAGTGGATTCCCTACATCTTTCAGTGAAAGTGTTCCACCTGACTTTTCTTCCTTCACTTTCAACTTCCTGACACTTGAAGTGTGCTCCAAACAAAATAAGAAAAAAGGAGCTCCTGTTCCTGATCACTATTTTTTGTTGGAGGTGTGGGGACATCAGGTAAAGACAAATTGCTGCTAATTCCCATAATTAGACAGCTTTTAAACATTTGTAGTCTAGAGTCTCACATTTGCAGAAGAGAGCAGAGGGCTGCTTTTTCCTGTGTGCAGGTGAATGTATTTGGGAAAACAGGAGGTAGAATTGGATGGGGAGAGCTATACTGCTTTATTGAAAAAGAGTCAATGAAGATATTATAGAATCCCCAGCCTGTGTTGGGGTCCTATTACTTCCTATTTGGATTATATTCCAAACACAAGGCACTTTACGGTAGAAATTCAAATTGGACAAAAACAAATTTTCAGTATGACATGGACCACCTGTTAGAATGCTTATCATTAACATTCACTTATTCATTGGTGCTGAATTTCAGGTGGAATGTACATCAGACAGCCATTCTAACTTCAATTATTCTGCCCTACTGCCCAAGATATTCCTCTGCTCCACTGCTTTCTGGATCATTTTCAAAATCATAGCAAAATGAAATAAGAATTATTAATTTTTAGTGCATCACCTACTGATGTCTGCTGCATATTTTCAGACTGAAGATTCAATTAGCAGTTCAGGTGAAAACAACGGAGGATGTTTCAGGTCTTTGGGAACAAAGCTAGCCTGGCTCTTCTGAAGTGGTGCTCAGATACCAAAGAATTCTAAACAGAGACTGAAAATTAAATCAAGCCCACCAAGACATTCACAAGGTGCTTGATGGAAATAAAATTCGCAAAGCAATAGGGATGGGTGAGGGAAGTGGGTCAGAAGGGATTGCTCCATAGAGAGCCAGCAATAGACCCAATGGACCAAATGGCCTCCTACTCTGCTATAAATGGCTCTAAAAACTCACAGAATGTCTAGATTTAACAGTACAAGTATCTGGTAACACAATCAATTTCTCCATGCCAGAGAAAAAAAATTTAAACTGTGAAGTTTCATGCCAGCAGGTTGTTAATTCTTCCTTTAGATACTTAAAATATTAAAATTTTCTTTTCATTTTTTTCCCCTCTCTATCAAAACTTTCTTTCTTTCCCTTCTCATTTGGTACTTAATTTTACTCTCATCCATCACATTTCCTTCTCTGTTGCCAATAGACAATGCTAGAAACACTCAGCAGGTCAGACAGCATATGTGGAGAGAGCAAAGACATTTAACATTTCAAGCTGGTGATTTTGTTTCAAACCAGATAATCTATTTCGGCAATTTCAATTGAGGGGTAAACATTGACCCACTTAGGAAAACATTCCTCCTCTCCTTCAAAATTTCTTCATTTAAATGACAGGGCAAACAAGCTTATGTGTAACATCTCACCCAGCACTTCCAACACTACAACAATCACTCAGTACCACACTGGGATTCCTGTTGGGGTTTTGTGCTTCACTCCCTGAAAAGGAGTTGAACCCATGATAACTGACCAAGAAATGAGGGTGTTTCCACGGAGTCACTGTTAAGATTCTGACAATTTAGATATAGCATACCGTTGTTTATTTGGATTTTTATAGTCTTTGACAAGGTTCCACATGGTAGACTAATTAGTAAAGTTAGGTCACATGGGATTCAGGGTGAGCTTGCCAACTGGATACATAACTGGCTTAACAGGAGACAGAGAGGAGGGTTCCTTTTTGGACTAGAGGCCTATCACCAGTCGTGCTCCACAGGGATCGGTTCTGGGTGCTCTTTCGTTTGTCGTTTATATAAATGATTTGGATGAGAATATAGACGGCATGGTCAATAAGTTCGTGGATGACACCAAAATTGGTGGCATTGTGGACAGTGAAAAAGGTTTTCTAAGACTACAACGGGATCATGACCAAATGGGTCAATGGCAGAAAAATGGCAAATGGAGTTCAATCTGGACAAATGTGAGATACTGCATTTTGGTACAACAAACAAAGGTAGGGCTTATACAACTAATGTTTGTGCCTTGGGGAGTGTTGTAGAATAGAGAGACCTAGAGGTGCAAGTACATAATTCTTTGAAGTTTGCGTCACATATAAAGAGGGTGGTTAAAAAGCCATTTGGCATGCCTGCCTTCATTGCTCAGTCCTTCGAGTATAGGAGTTGGGAATGTTATGATGAGGTTGTACAGGACATTGGTGAGGCCTCTTCTGGAATACTGTGTCCAGTTCTAGTCACCCAGTTATAGGAAAGATATTATTAAGCTGGAGAGAGATCAAATGAGATTTACCAAGATGTTGTTGGGTATGGAAGGTTTGAGTTATAAAGAAAGGCTCGAGAGGCTGGAACTTTTTCCACTGGAGCACAGAAGTTGAGAGGCGACCCAATAGAAGTTTATAAAATAACGAGGTATAGGCAGAGTTAATGGTAGCTGTCTTTTCCCTTGGATGGGGAATTTCAAGATTAGGGGCACATGAGAGAGAGCGAGAGAGGTAAAAAAAAAAGTGAGGCAAATTTATTTTTTTTTAAAAACACAGAGGGTGGTTTGCATGTGGAATGAACATCGTGAGGAAGTGGTGGATGTGGGTACAATTACACCATTTAAAAGACATTTGGATAGATACATGATTAGGAAAGGTTTGGAGAGATATGGGCAAGGAGCAGGCAGATGGCACTAGTTTAGTTTGGGACTTTGTTCACCATGGACTGATTGGACTAATGCTCTATGACTCTATAATGGCCAAATGATTGAATGTAATTATAAGGCAGAGATCAAAGGGCCATGTCTTACAGGTGATTCAAATCCATAATATCTGAACTCTTAGTGGAAATAAGGTAGTAAGTGGGATTGCAGACTAAAGGCAGGGGTAGGAAATAACGGTCTTATCAAATAAGTAACAAAGTGCAAGAGGGTGAATCCAATAATGAGAAAGTGCTCATCTCCAAAGAACTGATCTACCACTGAGACACAATGGTACCAGTTCGCTCAAAACAAAATCATACAAGTCTATCACCGACTTCCCACAATACTCTTTTCTCCTCCTAGTCAAGATATGCTTCAGCAATCCATAATACTTCTGTATTGAACAAGATCACAGAATCATCATAGAATCCCTACAGTGTGGAAATAGGCCATTCGGCCCAACAAGTCTACACCACCGCTCTGTAGAGCATCCCACTGAGACCCATTCCCCTATCCCTGCATTACCCATGTCTAACCCACCTAACCTAAACATCTCTGGGCACTATGGGCAACTTATCATGGCCAATCCACCTAACCTGCACATCTTTGGACTGTGGGAGGAAACTGGAGCACCCGGAGGAAACCCACACAGACACGGGGAGAATGCGCAAACTCCACACAGACAGTCGCCCGAGGCTGGAATCGAACCCGGGTCCCTGGCACAGTGAGGCAGCAGTGCTAACCACTGAGCTACCGTGCCGCCCAAAAAATCCACTGTGGGATTTGAACCGATGTCCCAGAATATTAATCTGGGCTGGATTACAGGCCTAGTGACATTACCACTACACCACCATTTCCCTTAGGAAGATAGGAACAAACTACTGCTGGAAGCTGGAGGTACAAAGAATATGTGCTCTGACAGACAGCAGTCAATATTGGACATATCAACATGTCTGTTTTTGGAGATGAGCAGTTTTTGTTCACCTCAATCACATCACTGCGCTGGGGATGAGAGGCAAGGGCCACATTCAATCAAACCGCTCCTTCAAAAGGAAAAGATTTCTAGTCTATTTATTCCAGCAAACACATCACTAGATGGAAAACAAACCAAGATTCACTTGGTTCATGTTCTACCATCCTGGTGGTAGCATGATACATAATAAATTTACATATGAATATAGGTATTAGAGGCAAGAGGAGACCATCCAGCTCCTCAAGCTTGTTTTTGCCATCAGATAAGATGGTGGATGATGCAATTGTGGCCTTAATTTTACTTTCCTGTATTCTTCTAATAACCTTTGATTCCATTGTTTATCAAGAATCAATCTAACTCAGTGTTAAAAATATTCAATGACTTCTCCTCCACCTGTATCGGAGGAAGAGTAATAATCGATCAAACACTATCAATTAGAGTACAGCAGACCTCATTTATGGTAAAAATCCAGTTGTGGAGAACTTGCAGAATCACAGGTCAAACTCATCAATTCCTCAGAAGTCTGTTAAACAAAGGTTTCAATTATCTCATAAAACATCATAAACATTGAAAATCTGAAAATTTAATCACCGAGAAATTGAACTACTCTATTGTTTCTATCTGCACTTTTGCTGAACGGTGAGGCATTGGACCTCTGTTCTCATTTCTACTTAGCCAGTGGTCTGCGTATTATAACCAGTGTTCAGTATTTCCATTCTCCGATTTTAAAAAATCAGGTGGTAACCACAGCCTGACAGACCACAGATGTGCCTCATGTATTCTAAAATGGTGTAAACCTCCTAGGCTATTGGCATCAATAATATCTGAATGCAAGCTTCAACACTGAATTTCTCATTACCTGAATTCCTCATATGATCCCACTTTCTGATGAATGGCCCTGAACTTTGCTTCATTTTCTCGTTTGTGTTTCTCATCAAGGAACAAGGCGGTTTCTAACTCTCTCTTCAGAGCCTTGAAATCAAGGGTGTCACTTTCCTCCATCTGCAGTGACTGGAGGGAACAGGAGGAAAATCATGAATGACCAGCTGTTCAGGATACAGACAGCATTCTCCAGTCAGTTTGGAGACTGATGCAAACAAAGCTAACTAAAGGAACTGCCTGGGATCAGTTTCTGGCAGTGACTCAGATGTTACTTAGCATGGCGACCAGACGTCTGAACCACAACCAGCCAGCTCGGCAAGTAAGTCAACAACCTCGGTGACTCTCAGACATGCAGCTAGAAACCCAGCATCTGAACTGGAGTAAGACATGATTCAAACCTAGGGCAACAAGGTGCAGGGATTCAAACCCAGGGACTCATTCTCATGTAGCAATTGACATCATGAGATTTATTTAGGCTGGATTAATTATCTACTGCTCTAGGGGCATCACAATGGCTCAGTGGTTAGCACTGCTGCCTCACAGCACCAGGAACGTGGGTTTGATTCCACCCTCATGCGACTGTCTGTGTGGAGTTTGCAAAAAAAACCAGGAACCTGGGTTCGATTCCACACTTGGGTACTCCATACTCCGAGGGTCAGCGTGGACTTGTTGGGCCGAAAGGCCTGTTTCCACACTGTAGGGATTCTATGATTCAGCAGGAACCTGCCATCACTCCATACTTCAAGCTCCAGCTAATTCTCCGCTTTCCCCTGGCCTTCCCTCTCAATCTCTTTCTTCCAGTTCTTGGCTTCTTGACCCATTTCGCCTCTCAACAGCGAGTGAAGCCATTGCTCAGTCCAAAAACCTCTCGATGTTTAATCTCCCCTCACCTCAATCCACCGTCCCTTTTGATACCCGATCCCTTCCTGCCTCTTCTATAGCCGGTGTCCGGGGAGACTGCGAACAAATAAACCGAAACCGGGAGAATTACACGGCAGTGAAGTGGGTTGGCCGAAGGCCTGAGGCCTGGTGCTCACGCCGGCCACGCTCTACCTCGTGCGGTTGCTATGATAACCGCGCCGGGCCGCCCCGCCCCCCGCGCCTTGTTGCCCTGACAATGGGGGTTGCCATCACGTGGCAGGGAGGGGGTGGGGCAGGTCACTCACTTTGAACCTGCATTGAGGGGGGTCAGCTGTACTTAACTGGAGCCAGGCGCTGAAGGGCAAGTAAGGCTTTTTTCAGAAAAAAAACCCACTAACTGTAGAACTGCAATGTTACTGTGATTTCTGTGGATTGTGGCTATTTGATCGTTCAGCTTAGATGAGAATGTCAAATTGTTAACCGTGGGGTAGTATCATTACAACATACTCCAGGCCCCTCAATGGGCAAGGAATTGTCAACCCTATCGAATTACAGATAATTTACAGAATCCGATCATTTGAAGCAAATGGATCATATTAATGTTTATGCTCCATTAGTTTCTTCCCATCGTTCACAACACATCTTTTTATTCCTTTCTCCCTCATGCACTTGCAATGTGTCTATACTCATCACCTCAGCCACTCTATCTAGCAGCAAAATACTATAGGTAAACTCATTTTTTATTGGAATTGTTAATGACTGATAAAATTGTATTTGTGACCCTAGTGCTGGAATGCACAAATGAGAAAACATTTCTTTGCCTACCGTCGCTAACTCCTTTGTAATTTTAAAGACCCTATCATCTCTTTTCTAAGAAGTCCCTTTTTTTAAACAATTTCTTCAGGGCTTCTGAAACCATTTTGTGATATGATGGTAGCAACCTTACATCTGGTCTATCAGATGCTCAAGTAATGTCATTTCTCTGCTTTAAAATTTTGTTTCTCTGGAAATGAATTACAATGCTTTCTTTGCATTTTCTGGCTTTGTTGGGTTATGTTACTAGATTTATTGACTAGTATCCTGGAAGCTGTTGGTCCTGGTCCTCCTGCGTCGGTCTTCACCTTCTTAGGACGGCAGTCACAGTGACCAACGTCCCACTAGCAGTGAGGTGCAAAAGCCCTACCAGAACTAACGTATAATGGGGATGTGAGAAGCAGAAGAGGGTCTTAGGCCTCAGAAGAGGGGTGTGCACTGCAGATGAAGGCTGCATGCAGTCCTCCACGTAGTGAGATATGCTGCATCCTGTTAATGAGAGCCATGTCTCCATCATTCATTCAGCCTCAGCATATGCAGCATCTTGCTGAAAGTTCCGTGCCAGCTAACGGACCAGCACGTTACATCAAAAGGGAGTGCCTTCCTACCCAATCTGCAACATCAGTCTTTCAGAACAGGCCAACCATAAACTTACATGACAGATAACAAAGCCATGGTCTCCATCCTTGGAAGTTGCACAAGTAATAGGGTGCCTTTGGCCTCTTTTTGAGTCATTGCTGCTAACTCAGCATCATTCAGATGCCATGGTTCAATTTACAATCATCAATGACATGGTGCAATCACCCTTGACTAGCATTTAAAACCTAAGCCTGTTAATTCTGCATGTATTGTAAATGGATGATGACATGATCACAAATTATATGTAGCAGGAGTTAGCAAACCCACACCATGTATTTGCCCCTCCAATGACTTTTTCCCATCAAATTGACACTGACTCCTTCCCCCCCCGGGTGCTATCCCAGCCATTTTCCAGTTGCATTTCCCTTCTAGAGCATAGTATGTAGTGGCAGGGAATGGAGCTTGTAGTAGAACTGTTAGCCTTGTCACCACATATCCCCCACCCCCATAACCTTCAGGCCACTTTTTACCTTGCACTACCCCAAGAGCCCATTTCCACCATTCCCACCATGTGGGATCCATCATGTTGAACTCTACCTCCAACTGTTCTCCCTGCCCTTAAGCCTCAGCATTAATGTGCAGAGGCCATGGTGGTGCCACAGCCAATAATCAACCAACCACCCACAACCCCTCCTCATAGCCTACTATGCCCTCCAATGCTGTTCTGCCTACACCCTATCCACATTGAGTTTCTCTCCATCACGGTCCTTGTCCCTACTTCTACAAATACCTCTGTTTCCCACCACACCCCATCCCCCTCCATTCCAGCCTTTTGCTCCGTCAACATCATTGGCAGTGATTTCCCCCGCTATAAAGTACAAAGTATCTTTGCATCAGCCTTTCAATGGCTAGTTGCTGGTCCAGCGCAAATCTGTGCTTCCAGAACAGCCTGCAAGTGGAACAGAGTAGGTTGATGGTTAATATCAGATGTCAATGTCTAAGGAACAAGGTACACATGTGACGGGTGCCCATGAATTGTTCTCTCAGATGTTGTTTGTTGGTGAGCAATATGGAGGTGCCCCACAGCCAGCACTGAAGTGAAGTTTCCAGGTACCGACTCTAACTTCCATGTCGAGCTTGTGTGGCACATTGAGTAAGATAGGAAGTGAGTTGCAGAGTTAACAAGGCTTTTAACAAGTCATAACCCCACCTCCCCACTCCCCCCCCCCCCCCCCCCGCCGCTTAATTAGCAACTTCCCACTGCCAAGGGAGAAACTTGCCTTGCCCCTCAGCAAATGCGTAAAAAATGCACCGAGTTACTCCTGATGTCAATATAGGCCCACCAGACTTCCTGTCTAATTCTGCCATGAATGTTGCCATAGCCCAAGTCACTCAGGCCCGTATAAGATTCCATATTATGTCTCTATTTATAAAGCCCGGGATTGTGGATGCTATCTTGATCACTTTCTGAAACTACCCAGCCACCTTCAATGATTAACTTTTTAACTTTGTTTTCTTCATTTTTCTGCTTTGCACCTAAGATTCTGTACCTAGGTTCCATCGTACCTAAGACAGTGCCGTAAGTGGCGACTTGTGAACTTTTCACTGTACTCATGTGAATACATACATTCAAACTGATTTTACACATATAACGTTCATCTGCTCATGCATCTCCTGTAGGATTGTATCAATTACTTTATATTTCTTCTCCTTGTATTTCCTACCGAAACACACCACGTCACATGGGTCTGAATCAAAGTTTATTGCCATGTGTTCTTCATTCCATCAGCCTGCCAATGCCCTTTTGAACTCTATCACTGTCCTAATCCAAATTTTGTGACATCTGCAAATTTTGAAATTGTTCCCTGCACCACTACTTAGCATGTGGCAGGGTCAGGGCGAAAAGTAGTTCATCCAGAAGTGGATGGCTGTGGTTTACTGTCTTCTGACTGTTTCTTGGGGTTGGCTTAAAAAAGATATCCAGTTTTTACTGCTTTGCCCTTTTTTTTCCTTCATGAAGAAGCTGTTCATAGGGTGCCAAATAAGATCTTATTCCACGAACTGCTACTCTGCTGCATTCTGCATTGTAATTGTTGTCCTCTAAGAGCTGCAACTGTTTCTCAATTTCCCTCAGGAAAGAAGACAAAACAGAAGTGGAAAGCTTTCGAGGTGCTGCATCCTGGACTTCATCTTCCTCATCTCCAGCTTCCACTTCCCCCTCAGTGACAAGCTGTTGTAGAACAACTGTAGAGAGGTCTTCACGGTGGGACTCAAGCAGCTCTTCAACATCCTCACTCTCCACTTCTTCAAATCCAACTTGCTTTGCAAATTAACACAATGTTCTTTGATTCTTGGGAGGTCCTCTGACAAATCAAAGCCTTTAAAATCTTGAAAAAAATCTGGGAGAAACTTCCACCAAACTGCATGCAAGCAGTCCTTGTTGACATCACCTCAGGCTTCCATGATGATGTCAATTGCATTCTTGATGTTAAAGCTCTTCCAAAATTGAAGAACACTGTCCTTATTCCCCTCAGTGGCTGTAATAACCCTCTTAAGTGTGCACCTTAAGTAATAAGCTTTAAAAGCTGCTTTGCACCCTAGTCCGTGGGTTGAAGGAGAGAGCTTGTGTTTGGGAGTAGAAATAGCACTTTGATGTTTTCAGAAAGCTCACCAATGGTGGGTGGATAGCTTGGCGCATTATCTAGGATGAGGAGAATCTTGAAATCCAAATTTTCTTTCCTGAAATACTTTCTAAAAACACCTTCCAAAACATCAACAATAAGGTCAGAAAAAATTTGCCATGTCATCCAACCTCTTTTGCTTGACCTAAAGTAGATGCCTGGAGTAGACGTAAGGTAACCTTTCAAGGCTCGCGGGTTGGCAGTGGTACACCACCACAGGCTTAAGTTTTAAGTCTCCACTGGCATTGGCACCCAGCAGCACAGTCATATGATCCTTTGCCACCTTAAAGCCTGGAGCGTGTGCTTCATTCATAGAAATGTAGGTTCTTAATGGTACTCACTACCAGTATAAATCTGTCTCATCCGAATTGAAAATTTGATCTAAGTTTTAGCCTTCTTCATCAATTAAATTTTTTAATCTGGAAGGAAATGCCATTGCATGCTCCTTGTCTGCACTGGCAGCTTCGCCACATAGCTTTACATTCTGAAAAGCATAGCGGTTCTTAAAACCAGCAAGCCAGCCACCATTAGCACTAAAGGCAGGCACATCTGTAGGATTTTCAGTCTTTTTTATTAGATCTTTATAAATTGATAAGGCTTTCTCTTTTATGGTGAGAAAGGTGGTCCCAGATTGCTTTTTCGTTTGATCTTCTATCCACACACTTAGAAGCCACTCCATCTCCTCAGGTTCCTTTGTCTATGACTTCACAGATTTACTAGCACTCAAACTTGTTCCAGCAATGCAGCTTGCTTTAATCTTTTCTGCATTGTCTGTAATGATGCATAAGGTAGCCTCCTTTATTCCTGTTACGCGAATTATATCAAATATTCTCTCATTACGCTCAAAGCGCTTTATAACATTTAGCTTCTCTTCAGTGTTATAGCCTTTCTTTCACATTCACCACCTGTAATTTTAACACCAGGACACTTCTTGCTAGCATTCTTGTCACTTTGTCCTCACATTTTTTTGGGTAACATGGCAGAATTTTCAAAAAAAAACAAAAATCACACTGTACTGTATCTCTCACAGAAAGCGCTTCATGAAAAACGATCGCTGGTGCAGAGACATTTTTGGCACTGACATTGTGCAAGCTCAAGAAAAAGCCTGCAAAACAATGGTGTAATGTTGA